GCCTACTATGCCCACAAGTGTTAACTCCGTCGTTTTGTTAGATAGCTCTTGTCATCGATCTGATAATGGACTATTCGTCACAACCAACCGACATCATGGTACGAATGGATGTACCGATTATGAATGGGCGAGTGGACTGATAATGTATTATTGGCATTCAATACTCCACTGTGTCGTTAGAACCAACATCAATTTTGCAATACTTCTCACGCTTTTTTCAATGTAAATGACTGATATGAATTTATCATACATCCGCGAACAAATGCTCAGATGGAACAGTGGTTTATGTCACAAATTATAATTCTCAGATGTCAGTTCGTTATAGTTTTAGTTAATAGGGAGATGAAAATTGTGTATATCATGAAGAATGGCTGTAAGAATAACTGGTTCAGGTTACTGATGAGGATTTGATATCCGAAATGAGTTTTACTCGAGTGAAGTCCAATATAACCTGTTTGTGAAAGATATAATTCCCATATCACTGATACGAATGATTTTTTTGGAAGTCCCAATCTCATCAAGATCAGAGTTCATACAAGTATACTTCTCCTAATACATTTCAATTCTCATTTCAATACTGACATATATTGGTAAGTTACCTATATTTTTAGATCATATACATCATATTATTCGATTCGATTGAGAGATAATGTCAATTCTCACAGAGGACTTTTATTTTTCATGCTCTCATTTTGGATATTCAAACAGATATAATTCTAGTTTCTGTTGAATATTCAGGATGAGATTATGTGCATATATTCATATGAAGTAGAATGCAAATTATCTACTTCAGAAGATTTTTGTTTTCAAATTCTTGTCGTGTGTGTTAATAGATGCAATTCAATGTTCGTCGTTGCATATAGCCAGGAAAAAAAAATTGTTATTTGTTGAATTAACTGAGAGAGAATTAATATTTTCATCACATGGAGAATGCGATTCTGTATTCGGGTTCACAACTCTCTGTCAATTGGTTTTTTACTATTCCAATATTGTCCATCAATACCTCCTAGAACAGATTCACTTGATATGAAGTAGTGCTATCCAACTATTTACCAATAACTACTACGAAAGAGCCAAAATACTCAAAGAGGAATGAAATGTTTAATACCGAAATACAAAGAAGAGAAAAAAGAAGAAGAAGAAGAAGAAGAAGAAGAAGAAGAAGAGAAGAAGAAGAAGAAGAAGAAGAAGAGAAGAAGAAGAAGAAGAAGAAAGAAGAAGAAGAAGAAGAAGAAGAAGAAGAAGAAGAAGAAGAAGAAGAAGAAGAAGAAGAAGAAGAAGGAAGAGAAGAAGAAGAAGAAGAAGAAGAAGAAGAGAAGAAGAAGAAGAAGAAGAAGAAGAAGAAGAAGAAGAAGAAGAAGAAGAAGAAGAAGAAGAAGATGAAGAAGAAGAAGAAGAAGAAGAAGAAGAAGAAGAAGAAGAAGAAGAAGAAGAAGAAGAAGAAGAAGAAGAAGAAGAAGAAGAAGAAGAAGAAGAAGAAGAAGAAGAAGAAGAAGAAGAAGAAGAAGAAGAAGAAGAAGAAGAAGAAGAAGAAGAGAAGAAGAAGAAGAAAAGAAGAAGAAGAAGAAGAAGAAGAAGAAGAAGAAGAAGAAAAGAAGAAGAAGAAGAAGAAGAAGAAGAAGAAGAAGAAGAAGAAAGAAGAAGAAGAAGAAGAGAAGAAGAAGAAGAAGAAGAAGAAGAAGAAGAAGAAGAAGAAGAAGAAGAAGAAGAAGAAGAAGAAGAAGACAGAAGAAAGAAAGAAGAAGAAGAAGAAGACGAAGAAGAAGAAGAAGAAGAAGAAGAAGAAGAAGAAGAAGAAGAAGAAGAAGAAGAAGAAGAAGAAAAGAAGACAAGAAGAAGAAGAAAGAAGAAGAAGAAGAAGAAGAAGAGAAGAAGAAGAAGAAGAGAAGAAGAAGAAGAAGAAGAAGAAGAAGAAGAAGAGAAGAGAAGAAGAAGAAGAAGAAGAGAAGAGAAGAAGAAGAAGAAGAAGAAGAAGAAAAGAAGAAGAAGAAGAAGAAGAAGAAGAAGAAGAAGAAGAAGAAGAGAAGAAGAAAGAAGAAGAAGAAGAAGAAGAAGAAGAAGAAGAAGAGAGAAGAAGAAGAAGAAGAAGAAGAAGAAGAGGACAAAGGAGAATTCGTCGATGACGACGAAAGAAATCAGCTAGGCTATAATTGCTCTGCACCGGAGGTGAATTGGTGGGTATCTCGTCAGTCGGAACCCGGCATTCACAATGACATGTTTGGTCTGTCATTATTTCAGGCACATTCGTCCTCAAATTATAGAGCCGTGCACATTTTTGTCATAATTATTTCTTTGAATCTCGCAAAGTCTAGTCGGGAGATTGAATTGATATCATAAAAACTGTAGAGGTGTTTTTGGGTTTATACCTGACTCAATGAAGAAATATCATGGTATCAACCCTAAATGAAATTTTTTATATACAGAGTGGTTTGTAACCAATGTGGTTTATGTTATTCAATGTGTCCTATATCGAAATCAGAGATGATCGGAACATAGATCCAGATCAAATGAATCTTTTTGAAAATGATTCTATTGATTTGGAATGATTATGTTTGGATGAAATAATGATACCAAAAATCGTTTTTCCAAAAACCAAGTGACCTCCTCGAGTCTCCATATTTTGTGGCAGTATAATTTGAAAAATATCTATGGGGTGATTTCAACCCTCACAAAATAATAAATAAGACCTGCCCTGGAAAAAGCAGATATATTGTCAAGATATAATGATCATTCGTATTTTATTCAGTTATTTTTAAATTCCAATTTTTAGTCTTTTCTCAGTAAATATATTTTTCATAGCTAATTTTACATTTCCGGAAGACAGTTCAGTCGATCGTAGTTGCCAGGAAATCAAGAATCCAATTTCAATCAGTATTATTTTGATTTGCAATCTTTTTACCAGGTCGCTGGCACCTATGATCGGGTAAATTATCGCTG